AGTTGTAGAGGGGAATAGCGCGGTTGGAGTTGTTGTGTTAAATTTTCATACACCGCTGTAGATATTGACTATGGTATACCCTGAAAATGTATGCAGCATAGATCAAAATATTAGAACAACCATATATTTAATGTTTCTAAAGTGGGGCAGGTGTATAAAAAATTTTGTGCTGCCTCAAATTTTTCCAAGAAGCAGGTCTTACAAGGATATCATGCATGAAAATGACACTCAACAGTTCCAAACATGGAAAATATACACTGTAATGAGAAGATTATAACTAGACAAATTTGGACAGATTTTTTAAAAAGGTAAAACAATCAACTATTTTGGAGCAGCTGGATGAAAAAATTCGTGAGAAAAGACCTGGTTTGCACCACAAAAACATCATTTTTCGTCAAGACAATGCAACTTCTCACAAAGGCTTGTGCAGCCACCGTATTCAACATATTTGGATTCCAGCGAATATTATCTCTTCAGAAACCTGAAACAATTACTTCGTGGAGAGCGTTTTTCGTCGAACGAAGAAGCTATTGCAGCCGAAGACCGGTATTTTGCAGAGCTTCCAGAAAGTCATTATAGGGATAGCACACAATTATTGTAGAATCATTGGAATAAATGTATTGAAGTTAAGAGAGCTTTATATTAAATAAAAAAATATATTTCGTAGAAACTTTTCAACCAACCTGTATACCATGTATATGTATGTGAAAGTTACAGTCAACTTATCACTGTTCTTGAATTATCGTTGCCCAATTCCTCTGACAGTTCTACACACTGACACTAATTCTAAAGAAAAAATTCCATCCAAGACACTTTTTTATTTTTCTCAAATTTTTTGGTATCTACCAGACTACCATATATGTGTGTGTATGTGAAAACAGATCACATTAATGCTGTGCTTTAAAAACAAATATTTTTTTAGGGTAGAATGGTAGTTCAATTATTGCTTGGTCTAGCTATCTCAGTTTCTCTTAAGGGGGTCGACCGGTGGGACGACCGAAATTTCGATGCTTTTTCGTGAATTTTTTTGAGCAGAAAAATAAAATGCGATCGGTTTGTAATTTGTACATGTTTTTGATACTACTTTCAGGCATACAAAGAAATTATTTTTTAAATAATTTTACATTGATTTATTCATAACTTTTTGTGTTGTAGTAGAATCCTCGAAAAAACGTTAAGCGGTTTCGGCGAAGCACACAGCAAAAATCGAAGAGATTATTCTTGTTTAGACTTGTGAAAAAAGATACTGAAAATCGAATTTTTTTTTTTTGATTACGAATTGTTTAAAAAAATGAATAATTAAAAAAAAAAATAAATGTTTTTCAGGTTAAGTATTTAGCTATATGTATCTAGAATAACGAATTAAATGTTAAGCCAAATCGGTTAAATAGTTTCTAGTCGGTGTTTCCCCGCTAAAAAGCATGTCTCTCAGCATGCAAATTGATTATTTGACCAAAATAATATTTACATACTCAACATATCGCCAAGCATTCACCAAACAAATAAAAACTTAGTTAAAACAAAGAATAATGTGTTTGTTTACTATTTCAATTTCACAGCATAACTCACACACATGTCTACAGATTTTCACAACTTTTAAGTGCCTCAATGGTTTGAGTGAAAGCCGAATCGTTGATGGAAAGGGCAAATTAATTAGCATATCGGGATAAGTAGCTACATATATGGTTATGTACATACTTGTGCTTTTGTGCTTGTGTCAAATTGCCCACACTCACACCACTTAAATTCCAACACATGTAATTAGTAAAGTGACGCAAAACTTCCTGCTGCTTTTATTTACCAGTTTACCGGAAAAGGGATATTTACGCTAAAAAGCAATTCACCAATTTACCGCTTTGGCAACATTTGGTCCGCCTGCTCACCGCCAATCGTTGGCAAACTCAGTAAATTAGCTGAAAATGCAAATGTAAATGTAACATATACCCTTCACGTGCCACTTTCTGACTATCGTATGCCACAAATATACAAGCACACGCACACACACATGCATGGCGTGACCACATTTTACTTTAGACAACTTTGAAAGCTTACAAATTATCATATAAACCTACACTGCTTATGCGCATTTATTACAAATACTTATGTATGTATATATGCATGTATATGTATGTTTGAGTGTGTGTGTCGAAATTGGCAATTCATTCCTTGAGAAATAATTAAGATCTATGCGTATGAAAGTGGTGAGTATTTCAAATGCATGTTGGATTTGTTAAAAGCACAATAATTCTTGGTCGTTCGCATTCTCGTGTGAATGTGTGTGTGTGTGTGTGTGGCAGTCATGTGCTAATGCTTTTGCCACATAAGTTTTGCCAGTTACAGTTGGCGCTGGCGCTTCCTTCTCTATGCTGGTGGGGGTAGTGGGCATTTAAGCTGTTGGCAAGCAGAGACGCCAATGCTCTTTGCGCTCTTTCTCTTTTTTTGGTTTATTTGCCGTTACTGCCATTCTAATTCAATTATCACTTATACATGCACATACATACAAACACATGCATTTACATAGATACAATGTAGAATATGCTTAGTCTAATATAGAACATATAACATGTTGGTGTGTGTGGTATAAATATATTTTGTGACATTAAATGACACTAAAAGCTCTGTCATCAACAAAACACAAGCCTTCATGTGCTTAAGATGAATTCTTATAAGAGCTGCTGCAGCTAAAATGTACAAAAATAATATAAAAAAAAGTTAAACTTGTAGTCGGACTTCAGTGTGCGTTTACATCGGAGTTGCCTGTGTTATTTGTTCTGAATTTATAAAAATAAATTTCAATTTTCACTTTATGAAATTATGCAAAAATATTTATACCCTGAACAGGGTATATTAAGTTTGGCACGAAGTTTGTGACCTTACAAAGCATATATATAACTGATCAGCGTGACGAGCTAAGTCGATTTAGCCATGTCCGTCCGTTTGTTCGTCTGTATATATGCGAACTTGTCCCTCAGTTTTTGAGATATCGATTTGAAATTTTGCACACGTCCCTTTCTCCTCAAGAAGCTGCTTATTTTGCTTATTTGTCAACCACTATAGCATATAGCTGCCATATAAACTGAACGATCGCAATCAAGCGCTTGTGTGGAAAGCTTTGTCATTTGACGAGATATCTTCAAGAAATTTGGCACGGATTATTGTTCAAAGCAATGGCATAATTTTCGAAAAAAATTTTCAAATCGTTCCATTATAGCATTTAGCTGCCATTCAAATTAACCGATCAAAATACAGATAAAGATCATTTTATAACCTTTTATGAAATAAAAATGCACCTGTGTATGTGTATTATAGCTGCGTTGCAGCCGAAGTTAACATTTTTTCTGGTTTTAATTTTTAAAGTTTCAACAGACTTACTGTTACAAATAAGTTTTTTTTAGTTAATTTTCTACTAGATATACGGTAGGTTAACAAGTAAAACCGATTAAGTTCATTTTTTTCAAACAATTTATATTATGTAAATAAATTTTTTTCTATTTATATATCGCTTTTAAGAAAATATTAGGCTTTTTGACTGAACTTATTATTATGGGTATTCTGGTTTAGAAGCCCGAATTTCAGGCTCTTTTTCGGACCCGATAAAGAAAAACAAGAAATATTTTTATCATACATTTTTTATATGTTTTTTATTGATACTTAAAGAGTACAAATCAATTATAATATTAAAAAAAAAAATCACCAAAATTTCAAAAAATTGTAGGTCGGCAAAGCTGGGACTGATAAAAAAATGTGCGGGATATCAGGACTCCCAGTAACTCGAAATGGAAATTGTTGAGTGATCCTTAAAGAGGAAGGATGTAGTTATAGCAATACAAGAGCATTTTGGAAAAAAAAAATTTCACAAAATGGCGGCTGTTTGACAAATATGTTTCGTTATTTCTCCGTTTTTTTTTTCGTTCGCAATTTTTCAAAAATAAAAAAAATAAAATGATCCAAAAAAAATTCTCTCGTAGTGCGATAGTATCATGTATAAAGAAGTGCTGTATAAAATTTTAAGCAATTCGATGGAGTAGAACTTGAGATATCATGCATAACGTTTCTAAAAAAGTAGTTCAGAGAAAAACGACTTTAAAGCTCGCGCCAAACTGTCAGTCTACCTTGGCGGCGCATCACACGCAACGCGCTGTAACTCCGAGAATAATTGAAATTTCAAAAAATCTTTTAGGAACATATTCGTAAAGGGTTATACTACAATAATATGCAAACAAAAAATTGATTTTTTTAAATTTCTAAACCAGAATACCCCCTTAAAGCTTCATTTAAGATTTAGGTTATTTCAATGTCTTTTTAACTAAATAAAATTTACAGTTATTATTTTTTTATGCACGTTGATTTCCCTATACTATTGTCATACGACTTGTATACTGCTTCGATTTCGACTCTTAAAAAAAAAATAAAAGAGAAATCTTAAGCTTAAAAAGCACTACAATATACTATCCGCAACTCATTACTCGCTTTTTGGAGTTATGCGCTTTACAAGCTAATTGCTAACTCACAGCTCAGAGATAAAATTGTCAAAGCGCCACACCACAGAAACCTCAAAGCGTAAGTAAAACAAAAAGCATAATAAAGAAGACAGTAGCAAAAAGAAAATACACTAACAACGCTTACACACATACAAAGCATACATACATATACAGATGAATTTAGCAAGCTTCCTTGGTCCACTTCACTCGCTGCCAATTTCTAGATGATTTAGTTAATTTGTTTACTTTGTGGTGTCGTAATTTTGTCGTCGACTGTTGACATATGAAAATTAAGACGGGGGCAGTTAGCAAGAGTAAGGACAATTTGAGTGAGCTTTTCGCTGCAATAAGGAAGACTTCATTTTTGTCTGTGTGTGCGGTGTACATTAAAATGCTTCGCTTGGTTACGAAAATATAGTGTTGGCAAACAACTTTCCGGCATTTGTGGTTAAAGCTAAAATTGAATTTAAAATGCTTTTTGGCAGCAAAGCTTGTGGGTATGAACTAGAAATATATGTATTTGTTTAATAGAAATTTATTAGAAACAAATTGAGGAAACGGTATTTCTTAGCTAATTAGAAAAATGTGTGCGATTAGTGTAGACAGTGTTGGTAAGTGTGTAACATTTCAATCATTTAATGTAGTTAATTCGGGGTTTCGTGAATTTTCGTTCATTCAACGATATACAAAAATCGTCGCGAATTTTCAAACTGTCGAAAATAATTTCTAATAACATTCTTTTTTGGATTCTAAATACTCATTTCGAGTATTTTTTGTCAAGTATTGTATTTACAAGCATATACAAGATTCTTAAGTACAAGTCAAATAAACTATATTTTCTAATTGTTATAATGATTTTTCAATCGATTGGTACAAACGGCGGCAATGCTGGCGGCAAAGCGGACGTTCTTATCAATTTATAACTCTCTGGATCGTCGACAGTCGCCGTAAGTTCCGTTAGAATGTCACTATCCACGCTCACTTCCTGATTTATGTGAAAATAAGGACCAGACTCCGCTAAAATGTCGATAGTAAATAATTTAACGTATATTAGTACTTAGTTCTACATACACGTCATAGCTTGGATAGACAGTGCCGGTTGATCGGCAACCCTGGGTATACCATCAGCGGCGAAGGTGTACCACAAATCAACCATTTTCTTTGCGATTTTCGTGTCATTCGCATTCAGTTTATGTGTGGCAAACACGTAAATATTATCATTTGAATGATGTACGCCGCCCTCAAAGGGGTATTGCGAGTTGCCGAACTCGTAGCCGAAACGTGTGTGCTCGCCAGCATAATCGAAGGTGTATAAGTAGACGGGAGCGGCACCGCGCCGCTGCAATTCATTTGCATAGGCAATCACTGGCGATTTTATATAAATAATATTAGCAATCTGCAATAATATTTAAAGTGTAACGTAACATATAATTTATAGATTATGCTAACTCACATCAATATATGCCGGCCAAGCAGCGGTGTGATTGTTGGTATCCAAAATGTTCGGCTTGAAGAGCATGCGCAAGAGCAAATTGTTAGAGAGACTAGTACTGTCTTTGCCTAAGTCGATCAGCGTGTTTGCTAACTGGCGCACAGTGAGCTTAGAAATACTGCCATACCTCGCCACCAGTGTATCATAAAGCGCTTTAACGTTTTGACAGTTGTTTTCAATTATTTATTTGTTTGATTAGTTTTTATTTGTATTAAACCTTACTTGCCAGCACAAATGTGCCATCGTGCTTTGTAAAACCGGTCATTAACGGCACCGTGCGCTTAAGATTCCGTAACAGCGTTTGCGGTTCTGCCGGCAGCACGCCCTGCTCATCACCTATAACAGGACTGAAGCTTTCCTGAAACACAAAATATTTATCAAACCATTGCTTATATATACTAAAAGCTCACCTCTGTCGTCACCCTCAACAGCGTCAGCACATCAACCTTCTTGAGGCATTCGTATTGCACGCGCTTGTCGGCACATTGCTCACATTGCAGCGCCTCACAGATGCGTTTCACCTGCGCCAATGGCGTGCGATTTATGCCCCACGATGCTGTTATGGCTCCCGATTGTACAATCGAACGCTTAAAGTAGTGCTCCGGCGTTTTTGGACTCAACAGCAGCGCACCAGACATAACCGCTCCGGCGCTCTGACCGAATATCACAACACGCGTTGGATCGCCGCCAAAGGCATGTATGTGATTTTGCACCCAACCCAAGGCCAGTAGAAGATCAATTACTGGCGTATTGCCGGGCATATCAACGTTGTGTGTCGTCAACCAACCGAGCGCGCCGACGCGATATTGTGGCACTACCAGCACAATATCTTTTTCCAACAGATGTTGTGGTGGATGGTCTGAGGCGGAACCATTGTAAAAGCCGCCGCCATAAATGTAGAACATTACAGGTTGTTTGGCCGCGAGCTATAGTTGGCATATGCAATATATTATATGTATATAGACGAGATGTAAATATAGAAAATATATAAATGGACTTTACGTTTTTGGTGTAGACATTCAAGTTGAGACAATCCTCCAAGTCTTCCGCCAGTTGCTCGGCATTTAATTTTCCCACTGTTGTTATGACCGGACAGCGTTTACCAAAGTTGCGCGCATCGAAGGTTCCTTGCCAGGGTCTGCGACTTACTGGTGGCTGTAATAATAGTATAAGTCTAGCTTTGTTTCTTATAAGTCAGTAATCTCCCTGAAGCGCACTGAACCTCACTGAACCCACGCGACGGTCATTCATTATATTGTTAGTCCGATCATATTGTTTTGTGTGCGAAAAACATATATCAATCATATGGACCTTATCGAGCTGTTCACTAATTTGAGATAAAACAGTCAGGCGGCTATTTATATATCTACCTATGTGCTTTATCATTCGGTTTTATGAGGCTCTTAAATTGTTATCATTTAATTGGGATTTTAGATTGGGTAACAAGGCAATCATACGTACAATCTAAGCTGTACAAACACGTGTATGTGGGAGAGAGTGAGCGAGAGAAAGAGCGATAGCGAAACTGTAAGCATATTCATAGCAAAAACAATTAAACGATTTATGTTAAAAACAAGCGTTAAGTATATTTAAATCGTAAATTAATTCATAAGATAAAAAACATTAAATAATTTATTATTTATTCCAAGTTTTTTTTATGAATTTTTGCTTAGTAAAACAAAGTCCGTCATTTTACTGGACTGCGTAACAAGGCACTAAAAATACATAGACAACTTATTATAAATGTAAATGTAAGCACATATTAAAAATATCAGCACAAATTAAAGACTGGTTCTATATAACGTATATTATTCATATATTCTAAACAGATTCAGATGATACACGCCAAATACTAAACTGAAAAACTATTATTTTCTAATATTTATTGCCTTGGAATAAGCAAACAAAACTTTACACCACTATTTTTTAACAACTAACACACGTCTAAGCACTTCAGCAGCAGCATTACTTCGTACACTGAAAACTAACCTTGAAACGCAGCTCACCACTTGGCGATTCCGCATAGGGAATACCACGGAATGAGTAAAACGTCTGTTTCGTCCACAATGTTTCCGCGATACTACCGAGTACGGCACCTTGCCCGGGTATATTAACTCGCGGTGAATCTATTGTGATGGACTTTGATGTCACCAGTGTGACAACAACGACGAGTGTGATTAAAGCTAAAACGCCCAGCAATAATTTCATGGTCTAGCCTCTAAGCGGACCGCACACCAACTAAATGCCTTCACATTAGTGTGAGATAGTATTATGTGTATAAATTAACGGCAGTAAAATGCTAAAATTATGCACAGCGCTGCTCAGTAAATCAAGTGTATTTTCGTGAAACGATACGCTTCACTCTCGATACGCTTCGCGGCTCGTTTCATTGTTTTTTTTTTATAATCAAAAAGTAAACAAATTCATTCATACAGTGCCGTTTAGAATAATAGTAATATGATCGTAGCCGGTCGTTGATGGTATAAAATTCTACAAAAATTATAATAAATAGATAATGTTAAAACCGCTAAAAAAACCAGGACTAGATATAACTTTTTTTTAGTTCCTAATGTATGCTTAGTAAGTATAGCCGCAAGTACTATGTTCTGGATTTATCAATTACATCAAGTGTATACTATTTATTAAGCGAACGCGTGCGTACTGAAATAGCACAATAATAAAATTAATTTAAAACAAGTAAGGAAGTGCTAAGTTCGGATGTAACCGAATATTTTATACTCTCGCAAATGGTATACTCGCTTGAGATTTCTTTGTGGATTGACTGATATTTTCGGTAGAAGGTCAACTATAGGCACTGGTATCCACATATTTAGTACTTAGGGGTTTGAACAGTTTTGGTTCGATTTAGACAATTTTTGGCCGCAAGGTGGCATACTTTAATTGCATTATTCACGCAAAGTTTTACCCCGATATAATCATTGTTGCTTGATATGCATAGTGGAAAGTGAAAGAATCTGATGGAATTTAAAATGGTGTTATATGGGAAATAGGCGTGGTTGCAGTCCCATATCGCCCATTTTCGCACTATAACATAGAAATATGAAAAGAACCTTATGCACCGAATTTGGTTGAAATCGGTTAAGCAGATCCCAAGATATGGGTTTTCACTTTAAAGTGGGCGGTGCCACGCCCACTGTCTAATTTTGAACGCGGTTCCTATAAAGTCATCTCATACCATCCCAGAGATAAAATTTAATGTCTCTGGCGTGTTTAGTGCTTAGTTTATCGTGCTTTAAGTATTTACCTATTTTCGATTTAGCAAAGTCAACCAAAGTCAAATTTTGTTTAAAACGGACGATAAGTACGGAAGGGCGGAAGGTCGGAAGGTCGGTGCCTGTTTGAAGCATGAATGCTACAGAAAACTTGTGAGCTATTTAGATAACAATAATTTTGCTTTTCATACATTCCAATTAAAATAAGATAAGCCTTATCTAATAGTTATAAAAAAATATTCACTTTTCAACTCCTATCGATCATATCAAATAGTTTTTGTTAGCCTGAAGGTTCAAGTAAGCCATAAAAAAAGTATTCGAAACAAATCGCTTATGCAATGCTTTAATAAAGATTGGCACTCCCAGAAAATTTAGCGATTTGGTGCAAAGTCATCGCTGTCAAGAGTTCGGCCAAATCAAGTAATACTGCAAAAAACCATTGCCTTCAAAATAGCACCGGCAATTATAACGGTTGTAAAATTTATCAATCAATCTCGATTAATAGTAACAAGACAAGGGCCCTCCTTGGCCAATCGTACGAATGCTAAACAACAATTGCACAACAAAAAAATTAGTTATATAGATGTAGCAAGATATAAGATATTTAAAAATAAGCGGATCTTATATTAAAGCATTTTAAAAACAGTTTGGTCATACGGAATTCAAATTAGGGGAACTGTAAGTAAATCGAACGTAGATAAAAATATTTCAAAGTTATCAGTCGAAACCCCACAGGTTGATCGCAAACGCTACGTAGTACAACAAAAATATTAACTTACACAAATATCTTGAAATAAATACAGTGAAGTGCGAGATGCAGAAACTCATATGTAAAACGACTAAGCTTGTCAAGGTGGCAGCCTACTGGACAACAGTGAAGATACTCGCCGACTGCAAAAGCTGCATCTCTTAGAGTTACGATTTAGATCTTAAGTTTAACTGCCCTGATTTAGTTGTAAAGTAGTATTATACTTAAACTTTAAACTAATTGTTATACATATATACAATAGTACAAGGTAAATAGAATTACTAAAGAGTTCAGTTATTTTTCAGCAATATTCCTTGATGTTGCTCAGGCATTCGATAAGATGTGGCATGAAGGCCTTTTATATAAAATAAAAAAAAGTATTCCCTTTCGAATTGTAAAAAACATTAGAGCATTATTATTTAAGAAATAGGAGATTTACTATTAAAGTAGCTAATTTCATATCAGATGAACGAACGATAAGGGCTGTTGTACCACAAGGGAGTGTGCTAGACCCAACTCTATATATCTTATATACAGCAGATATTCAAACCGGTAAAAATGTATTGACATCGACTTTGCGCATGACACAGCCCTAGTACGCCGTAATAATATAATACAGAGGTTCCAGTCAAAAATCCTTAGTGTGATACATTCGCAATGAAAACATTCACAAAGATCTTGGTATTGCACTGGTAAGGAAAGAGGTAGCGGACAGCAGAAAGAACAACGAACTTAAACTCCGTAACCAACAAAATCTATTAGCTAATGCCTTGCTACAGTTCTGTAAACAAAACCGCTTAAAAAGGCAAGATTTACCAGTCCGCTAAAGAGCAACCTATCACCAAAAAGGCTCAACTAGAACCTTAAACTTGCCTAGTTTTAATTAGATTTAAGATTTTATTACTTATTGTTGAGCTTGGAACAAGCAGATTCAATAAATATTAGCCTAAATAAAAACAATTTTGTGAGCTGATCAATTCCCACACAAAACAGGGTTTCTTTTAAAATTAAGGTGTTTTTAATCCCACCCTGTCGTAATACTACAGCAATGGCAACATAGTTTCTTTTTTACTCGTGTGAGCTAAGTTTTATAATCGCCCAGCAATCGCTAAAAAACTGTAAAAGTCAATGCAACCGCAATTAAGAGGGGTAGTTTACGTGAAGCCAACGTGGGTTGTGCTAAATAACGGCTGACAGACAATCTTATCGCGCAATCATTTAAAAATTTGCTCATAATTTATAACACAAACAATGCGAGGGCGATCCGAAACTACAATACAACAGAACAGAAAACAATGCGGAACTTCAACAACACATGAGAAAGTTATATAAAGGCGCTGAGAATAGGCATTAGTAGCAGCACTCTTGGCGCTTGGATGAGTGATGAGCCGAGTGACACGCGTCACTTAAACCACAAAACACAAACACTGACACCGAAGACAACACCACCACCACCTCAGCAAGAGTAGCAACAACAATCATGGAAAGCAAGGATCTCGTACTAAAGCGACGGCGAAAACCAGTTCGATTGAATGCGTGGTCGGACGGCTGCCGGCGGTCATAGATGCTTGTACAAACGCATGTAAGTCCAACTTGCCGACACGCCACTATTAAACGCTTAATGACTATTTTATAACTACGACAGCACGTGTTGTTGTTATTGATGCTGTTAGCTTTTATAATTTGTTGGTGCACCGCTGTTTTTGAATATGATTACACGCACTTTACACGCTCTCACGCGCACGAATCACAACCAAAACCAATTGGGTGAGAAATACAGTGGGCGAGGGAAGCAAATATTTTATATTCGAGAACAACCGCGGTGATTGCAACAAACTTCTTAAAAAATGTAATTTTCAAAGGTTTTGTGAGTGGGGTGCCCCACTCTATGGGTCATTATCTCTCTTTGGCTAAAGGAGGAGAAAACACTAGTTGGCTTAAGAAGTTCAGGAAAGCCAGTATAAGTTGATCAAGACTGTGTCCAAACGCTATAGCTCACTTCCACACAAGTGTTGAAATCCGCCGGAGATCTTTAAAAACGAACCGCAGCTATGAGAATGAGCAAAGGTTCACTCATATGAGTCTTACGTAGAGCTAGAATGCCAACATATGAAAAGACGCTGATCACGCGTTTAAAAAGACTATATAAATAAATATGTATGACCAGGCCAAGAGATAAACGAGACTTATGCTGGTAACAGTCGACATTCCGCCCTTCCGTACTTACCGCTCGTATCAAACCAAATTTGTCAAAATTTATGCCCATAGTCGCAACACAGAAATCAGTTGTTCTCTTTTGTTTTCATTTCAACAATGTTGCCATTTTTCTATTTGTATACACGATTTTTCACACATTTAGTTTTTTAGTTATAATTTTGCGTAATGTAAAAGCTCAAAACTACAATCCAACTATTGAAAATAGTCTACCTATTTATAAATTATTCTATACGACTGTGATTTTGATTTTCGCGGATATCCTAACGTACGTTCTGTAGAAGCGGTCGTGAGTATTCATTTACATTTCACTCTCATAAGATAGATCGTATCAGCTGATTCGGTCTACGGTTTTGCGTCAATGACTGTTTCCAGCATTACAAGATCTTTCAATCCTAGAGCTTTCATAATCTATACGTCAACCAAGCAGTTGCCAGAAAATTCTGGAGCGCTGCTGTTTATGGTAGAGTCATTGCGGCAACTGTTCACAGTTAGTGTAAATTATAGCCAATAGCGATATACTGTGCAAAGCAGCTCTCTCCATGTTTCATCTCTCAGCAATATGTGTGATCAACTTGATACGGTCAATTTGTTCACAGCTTCCTGTAAGGATGTGTTGTAAAATAGGATAACATGCTGTGTATTAGATTGGCACTCTAACAGAATCACGGTATGTGAGCAGCAGCAGCGGCAAAGGAGCAATCGGCTGTGTGAGACGACGTCCGGACACGTGGCGGCAATACAACAAACCCACAATGACGACGAAAACAAAATTAAATCAGCGAAGACGACACGTTTTAGCTACAGCAACAACAAATTATGGAAGGATATTATTTTATGCGAGTTTTTTAAATGACAAGCAACATTTGCAACACGTTTTTCACCCCCAGCCTACTTACCCGCAGCTCAAGCCACCAAGAGCAGAGCATATTTAGTATTATTGAGGGTAAATAATGAGTTACAAATTTGCGCAGTTAAAATCAAATCATTATGTCAGAATATGAAAACAATAACAACAATGCTGATTAAACATGAACACCACGTAGGTCTATTCATAGTAATTAAATATGATTACAACAGTTATAATGTAAAACAAGTCACTCACACACGCCACTCACCCTTCAACCTGACGGAAGAGTCTCAATGATAGGTCTCGCCCGTTTGGGCTGCGCTCTGCCGAACCGTCCATCATTTGAGCTGGTCATATCAACTACCACTTTGCTTCGCCGCTTGCCTGGGAGCTGAGACAAGCTGTGACGTGTAATCAGTAGCGGAAGATTGCGTGTCTCCTGTAATCTGCATGGCCGCCGCTGTGATTTAAATAAACCGTCGCT